GTGTTCATTTCGTGGACTACAAATTGTCGTCATAGTCGGCCGCACGTTTTCAGTGACGAAAACTAAGTTAATAGGACTAAAAGTATGAAATACATTTCATTTATCTCAACTGGAGATTTAGTTGACAAAACTAGACTGAAACGAAAAAAATTCAGATGACTAAAATACGACTAAAACTAAAATGCCATATTAGTTGTAAGCTGGCCATACACATATAGATTTATCTGCAGATTTTCTGTGGTCAGATGGAAAAAGTGCAACAGATTCCCCCATCTACGCTAAACTGTGTGGATGGAGGAATCTCCCACTGGGCCTAGCTTCAGTATCTTGCTAGTCGGCCCCACTGGCTCTCAAAATACCTGAACAAAAAGGCCTGCAGCCAATCAGATTGTTCAGGTAATTTGAGAGCCAGCAGGGCCGACTAGCAAGATACTGAAGCTAGGCCCAGTGGGAGATTCCGCCATCCACACAGTTTAGTGAAGATGGAGTTCAGATTCTGTCTGCTCCTGTTTTGATAAATTCCCCCCAATGTATTTTTGTCATACTTTTACTGCTATTAACTTAGTTTTTATTTAGCTTTCATCACTGAAACCATGCGGCTGACTAGAACTATGATGGAAATTTATAGTCGACAAAATTAACACTGGCCTAGAATCCTTTTTTGAAGTTTATGTTAAGTCAGAAACTTTTATCTAGTTCTGAATAAAGTGGGGTAAGACTAGAATTCTTGCTGGGTTTTTACTGCTATCTAGGGTTCCTTTAGAGAGATTTACCTTCACTTCCTGTTCTGCTGACAATGGTTGCACTAGACAGGAAGTGAGGGAAAATTTACAACAGAGACACAGACAAAATTAAAACTCTGACAGAGTCTCCAGTCATCCCTTACTCTACTAAAGATAATCGTATTTTTTGTCTGTTGCTGTTGGAGACTTCCCTCATTTGCTGTCTGTTACAACATTGTCTGCAGGATAACAAGTGAGGGTTAATCTTACAGAAGCCTCAATAACATTAAAAACCTGACAGAGGTTCCTATCCTTCCTCGCTCTAACTAAAACTAAGACAAAGTTTTGGCTGGACAAGCGATTAGGGACAATAAAATTAAAGCCTAACTCTAGAGCGAACACTTTATAAGCAGTAACAGCCTTTCAGTTTGTTGTATGGTGTATCCCAAGAGGTTCACCTTCCAGTGGGTCAATGACCCTAAACATACTGCTAAACTTACTCTGTAATGGTTTAAAGGGAAACATTTAAATGCCTTGGAATGGCCTACTAAAAGTCCCAAACCTCAATCCAATTGAGAATCTGGTTAAGGTAAAATCTCCCTTACCAGGATATAGATAGCAATGAAAACCTGACAGAGGTCACAACCTATGCCTACTCTACCCAAAAAGTAACTTTTAGCTTAAGTTGGGCTACATATCTGCAGCTTTCTATAAAATAATATCTGGTAATCCTGTCATGAAAGTCCTTGTTCGGGTACTGTTACAGTGTGACAATACTCTATCCCAATCTCCAAAATGGGCTCCTGTGTTGTCTCGCTGTCATACAGGCTTCTAGTGAGGACTACAAGTGGTCGTTTCAACACACATTATGCAGACATCTTCTGCTGTTGTCACCATCAAGAACCCTGCAGTGGGAAATGCCATGTACCCATCACTGGAGTGCATGTAGACAGGAAGTCAGCAGCACTGATACAACAAACAATTAAAAGGTGGTAAGAGTATTGTTTCCCCCATTGTTTATGATACATGATGCTTTAGCAAACTAAATGTCATTCAGTAGTGTTTACATCTACTTTAGGAGGAAACATGTAAGAGACCACTTTAGGTTATCATTGGCACCTGCCCAGCCAACTTCAGCTACAATAAAATAAAAAAATGAATAAAGACGCCTAAAGGGACACTATAGTGGTTTTGTATAGACTTTTCGTCATATACATATTTTGTTTAGTCAGGCAAATAGGAGATATTGAATATACATATTTCTCTATCGTGCATTGACAGACACAGCTCTGAAGAATTTTGAATCGTAGGGTTATGCTGCCGCCTCCAGAAGAAATGGATACCAGGTACCTCTCACCTGCCAGTATCGCTTAGTGTCCTGAGGAGAATGGATGTCTTTTGTTTCTTCATTGAAGATTCTACTACCGAGAACTCCTAGGTGATATTATCAAGTCCTAGGAGCTTGCTGACAAAATTGAGAGATTCATGCCAGATAAATTAAATTCTGGAAGTTTCTTTTGTTGTCATTTCTGGTCTCAGTACTTGTGCTTTGTCCTGCGGTGGTCTTGTGTTCCTGTTTTCATCATTTAACTGACCGTTAAATGATGAAAACAGGAACACAAGATTCCAGGGATTCCTGTTGTTTTGCAGGGAATGGCCATGGAGTCTTGAGTAAAAATGTATTTACCTCATGTTTATAAGGTTGGGTGTTTTCCCTCCTTTCTATTTTACTTTGGCTGTGTGTTTTTAGACTCCTATTTGGCTAAATGCCTTTTAATGTGGAGTTTGAATGATTTTATTTAACTTTCCCACCATATTTTTAACAGGCTGGGACTTAGAATTCAGGATGCACTTGTTTTGATCTACTGCGCATGTGCATTCCATTTTTCTGGTTTCCTCAGAGCGGTGTAGTGCATTTTTATCAGAGGTATAGGTGAACGGAGCAGTTTTGGCTCTGCTTCCTTTGTTTCTTATTTGACCTCGATTTCATGGCGCTTATTGGGAAGATACGCTGTACTCGATGGACTTGTGTCTTTTTTCCTACCTGACTAACTTATGTAACTATGAAGAACAGAGATATCCTGTTTTGTTTTATTATTACACAGCCATTCTCCAACTATTCTGCTTTTTTAGCAGCTGGTTATGGTACCTCATAGTTTCTCCTCACACTGGTCGGAGTCCTGAGTATTATTGTGTCTGAATCTGTCTGAGGCAGAGGTGTCAGAACAGACTGTAATTAGCAGGGCACTGTGTGAAAGTGATTTTTTTTCTTTCCTACTGTATCTTACTACTGGTTTTATTCAGAAACCAGTCACATTTGTGATTTACATTGGTGTCACTGATGTTTCTGCTTCTTCCAGTTAAAAGTGGCCTGTACATTATAAGGTGTTGGGCAAATGGTATCTCCATTCAGAGGTGTTTCAACAACTTGTCACCCCTTGGAAATGCCAGATGTGAATCTTCTGGTTTCTCGTCACAACAAGAAGGGGGACAATTTTGTGTGCAGATTGAGGGATCCACTGGTGGATACAGTGGATGCTTTAGTAGCTTTGTGGGATCAGTATACACCAATGTATGTATTTCCTCCAGTGACTCATCTATTACCCTGTCTGCTTCGCAGAACAGAACACAAAGGAATTCCAGTCATTCTTGTTGCTCCAGATTGTCCTCATAGTGTGTGATATGCCGATTTGGTTCATCTGTTGGCAAACGATCTCTGTCTTCTTCCACATCGGGAAGATCTGTAATCACAGGGTCCAATCTTCCACCCTGCTTCTCCGCCGCTGGCTTTAACACTTTGGCTATTGTAACCCAATTTTTAAGTCAGTAATTTCAAATTCTGTTATTCTGACTATGCCAACCTATTCTTCAGGTTGTCATTCAAGCTTATGATTTGCTGGATAAGGTTCCAGCTTTTCCTGTTTCTGCTCATTCTACTAGAGCAGTTAGTACTTCTTGGGGATTTTAGAATCAAGCTTCTGTTACTCAAATTGTAAGGCTGCAACATGGTCTTCTGTTCACTCTTTTTTGCTAAGTTTTATCAAGTTGATGTTTCTGCCTCGTCTGATGCTAGTTTTGGCAGAAAAGTACTTCAGGTGGCTGTTTTGATCTGGTTCTGCTAGTTTTTATGGTGACTGTCCCTCTGTTTTGGACCTCTTTTTAAAGTCTCTACGTCTCAGAATTCTTCAGAGCTGAGTCCCTCAATGGATGATAGAGAAAATAGGATTTTGTTCTTGCAATAAAATAATTTTCTCATAGTTCATTGAAGAACACCGCTATTTCCCCTCATTTGCTTTCATACTGCATGCTACAACTGGCTGGTGTAAGGGGCTATGTCCTTAAAGTGGCAGACTTTTTTTTTTGCCTAGTGTATATTTCTCCTGGAGACAGCAGCATAACCTACGTCTCGGAATGTTTCAGAGCCCTGTCCCTCCCTGGAGAAAAGGATTTTAGGGTAAGAACAAAATCCTATTTTTGCTAACTTTTAGGAGAGTAGGTAACAATCTAATCTTCCTTTCACATGCTTTCTTTTCTCCCTTTACCGCCTGTTGAAAAAGCCTGTTTACAGGGCTCGATAGCTCAAGCTACACTTTTAACACATATAAAAATAAGCCAGAGCAGTGACGCCCACGCTATTGGAGAGCTCTGTCAAAGTTTTCAGTGGAACAAACAAAGCCTCAATGCATGATGTTACTTCTGTGCTGTGTCTTTAGATAACCCTTCGTTTTCTTTGTCATAACATGTTTAATTGTAAAACAAACATTGGATACATATTCATACGTATCTATTACAAAATAGATATAAAACATACATTTGGAAATGTATAGATTAAAAGTCACCCCAAAACATCTGGCTATCTTGCTTGGTTAAGCATGCTGATCCATTGAGTTCAATGCTTTCTAAGTCCCTGATCCAGAACAAACAAGGTAAGAGTTACTTGCTGCATGCTTGTTCTATGGCAATTCCAGGAAGTATCAAATATCCAACACTTGATTTTTACTGATAACCCTAACATACAGGAAACAGCAATGATGTGCATATCTGGTATCAAACTGGTATCATTAGATATCTAAAGATTACATAAAACAGCAGTTAGGAAATAATGTTTTTGTCCGATGTACAATACAGACTGTCCCTATGAAAGATACACACTTGAGAATTGTGCCAAATGTCCACAAAGAGGACAACTGGGAGCTGTTGTGAAGGTCCATCCATGGTATAATTAGTGGAAGACTTCTGTTAGTAATGTTATTTTTGTGATTCTGTTCCTCTGCGCAGGTGTTTTGCATTCTGCCATTTAATTCAAAAGATAGCTACGATTCCATTAAGAAGTTTCTGAGTGTGGACATGCCTGTTCCCAGCCAGTGTGTGCAGAGCCGTACACTAAACAGACCACAAATGCTATTGAGCATCGCCAGCAAAATTGCCATGCAGATGATCTGCAAGACGGGAGGGGAGCTCTGGGCCGTGGAGATCCCTGTGAGTTACTGTTGATTCACCTTGACAGCACCTGACGGAGTAATGTATTCTTAGAATTAATGGCTGAATATGTTTCCACAGCTTAAGTCTCTCATGGTGGTTGGGATAGATGTCAACAAAGAAGCACTAAATAAATCTCAATCAGTCGTTGGGTTTGTGGCCAGCACCAACTCCAGGCTCACAAAGTAAGATCTCTGTAATGTTAGCTGTTTAAATAGGTCTTTGGGCAACACATTTAATCCTGAAGGACCATGTTGTTTCTATTTAAGTTTGTTTGTCCAATTAGAATTACAGAAAGATTTAAGACATCACTAAGAACGTTGATCTGCACAGGGCAAAGCAAAAGATTGAATTAATTGCCCAAAATACCTCTGCTTTTACTCACTTTACATCTGCTCTTGGCCACGCTGCTCACCTGTGGGGGTGAAGTAAAAAACATCCTGTTACAGCTTCTACAAGAGTGGCTTGGACTATACTCAGGGCTGTCCCCCTACCCCCTACTGGACAGCAATTGGTTTTGGATGGTCAGGCATCCACAGTTGCGGTTCTGCAATAAAAAGAGTCTAATTTTTCCTAGACCCAGTAGTATTAGTCATTTCACTTCTCGTTGATTTGCACCAAGCCATGCTGTAACACAGGTCACCACCTGTTAAAGAAGAACAGGACTGTCATCTTGATATCGCTTATGTGACTTGGTAGACTGGAGTTCACCCAATAAAAGACTGTAGCTGCCATCAAGAGCCCTTGTATTCTATAGTTATGTTGCAGTACTAGATTTTGCCAAATCTGTAAGCACTTTGTCTTAAGATGTCATGGGGATTGTGCATGTGGAAAGAATACTTTCGAAGTTACAATACTAAGGGGGTCACAAACATTGTTTTTGCTGGGGATCCACCCAGTTTCATAATAGAAAAAAACAATACAAAGCCGCTGTGTAAAGCGGGACAGCCCTGATGCTGATATATTCAGTTTGAGTCGTGAAAATGTAACCTTTACCTTTAGCTTATCTACATATATACTATAGAGAAAATTTTTGTCAGAAGTAGGATTAGGAACTATCCTTACTCCTGTTTATAGCAATGGTAACTCATACATATGCTCCTTAACGTCTTAGTGACTAAGGCCTTTTTTCCAGTTTTTGCACCCATGTTAGAATCCACATTTTAGGCCTGAAAACTACTTCAAACCCCCAAACATATATTTTCTAAAAGCCAGGACCCTGTAGAATAAAATGGCGGAATTGCAAATTTTTATGTTGCACGATAATAGCGCAACTTATTATCAAACCCAAAAATTTAGTGAAAAATGCACTTAAATGCCACAAAACACAATAAAATACCCATTTTTTAAAAATACAAAATAAAAGATGAGGTTACAACGAGTAAATAGATACCTAACATGGCCAGGTTAAAAATTGTGTGTCTGTGAAACGGTAACAAAATCTAGTACCCCAAAAATTCCATAGACGACGCTTTAAAAGACCCCTACAGGTCATCAGTTTAGAGACACACATAAATATTGGCCCTAGAATTGTTTGTGGCATATGTGTAGCGCTATCATCATTTTCATGTGTAGGCGCACCTGACGCGTGTTTACGTGAAGACTCGCAGGGCACTTTAGGCAAAAAAAATAATATTTTTACATTTATTTCATATAATATAATTTTTTTAAACTATTTTTTTTATTTAATTGCAATCACATAGGGTGCCTACAAGCCCCCCATGTTATAGCATATTGCTGGAGACAGGTACTCTTTAAAGACCCCTAGTATCACCTTTCCACTTGAAATAAGCTATTGAAGTGCAGATCACAGTTTACCTGCCCGTAGAAGCGATCTGGCGACAGCTGAGTCGCCAGAATCACTTCTATGTTAAAGCCGGCCGCCGGCTCTACAAATGTAAACAGAGTAGCCGGCGGGACTCTGTATAAACGGGGCCCGCCGCCGCTGATGTACTATGCACGTCACTGGTCGCAAAGGATTTAATCTGGCCATACACTGGTTGAATTTTGGCTGTTGACTTTTGAGTCCTGCTGACTGGACAAAACACTAAACAGCGTAGATGAATGGATCTCCCACTGCGGCTAATGTATTTCAACAGCGACGACTGTGTCGCTGTCAGAATACCCGAACGGTGTCTGATTGGCTGCAGTTAATGTTCAGCCAAGAATTTTCTCCCTGGTTTCTTTGATTCTCTGATTAAAGAATGTTAGGCGGGAGGCTATCTGAAGCAAAAAAGCAAATTCCGTCTGAAATGTGCTCAATGTATGACCAGCTTAACTACTTCTATTTCTCAGGGATTCCAGTTGTAACATGTCTCACCTTTTGTGCAGACATAAAGAAAGCAAATGTTTTTTTTATAATGTACATAATGGGTAACTCGGCCACAAGGCAGTGACATCTTTGTAAAGGTGCCCATACACTGCTCGATTCTCGTACGAGAATCGCGGGAAATCCCGCGATCGTACGAGAATCGTGCAGTGTGAACGAAGACGTGCGACCGTTTCTACTATACGGTCGCACGTCTTTTGTCTAAGGAGCACGCTTGAAAACCAGACGAAAATCGTACGATTTTCGGCTGGTTTGAACGGTGTTCGGGAGACAAATGCCAAACGGGCCGGTGTGCGCACACGATGGTTGTACAGTGTATGGCCACCTTAAGAGACACATTTCTATGGTGAAATCCTGTCAGGGAAGTCTTTGAGGTAGATATAGTTAAAAGCCAATGGAGTTACCTAAAAGTATTAGATTGGAGCAGAGCTCATCTCTATCTATGTGTGAGAGGTCCTCTTTAATAAGTGCTTTTACTGCACTGCAGAGCCTCTGACTTTATCTTCCCTCTCTATACTTTAAACTTTGTATAAGTACAATGTAGTGAGAAACAACATCTCTGTTTTAACAGGTATCTGTTTTACAGACTCCAGGCTGTTTTGAGACACCAATCATTCTGATGCTCACTGAGAGAATGAGATTTCTAGAACTGCAATTACGCTTTTTTTTTTCTTCTTTTTTTTTTTCATATATATTTATATTTTTTTCCTCCTTTCAGGTGGTTTTCTCGGTGTATCATTCAGAAAACATCAACAGATTTTGCTGATTGCCTGAAAGTGTGCATGCAAGGTAATTTATCAAGCAGCCCCGAAGCAGCTTTGACTGGCAGAGAGCTCTCTGTATTAATCAGCCCTGAAATAAGAAGTGAAAACATGTTTACAATTAATCTGCATGAGGTTTTCTGCTTGCAGCAACTGACATTTTTTTCATAGCAGTAAGGAAACAAAAAAAAAAGAAACAGCCTCTTCTCTGCACAGCTTTTTCAGCCAGGGCTGTGTAAAGTCTGGAGTTTAGTCACCAGTAGCTCTTTAGCAGTGTTTCCTGAAGTGTGGCACTTATCAATTATGTTTCAAAAACCTTGTTTCAGTGTATAGTTTGTAGTTGTATATGCACAGGGGGACAGCCATAATTTGCAACTACATTGTCAAGCTTTGCTTTATGTAACATAAACTGTTACATTTTGTTCATTCAGCAGTGAAACTATAACAGATTCCTCCATCCATGGGTGGAATAATCTGTTATATTTCTACTGCTGTGTCCTTTGAGTATTCTGACAGTGGCATGCCCGCTGCTGTCAGAATACAAACAGTGACAGCAACCTTCCCTGTACGCACATGTTTACAACCAGTGTTGTACAGTGACTGGGATCCCAATGTAAAACACTTTACTCCCCCTAAATTGTTTTTTTAGCAAAAACCTATTGACGAGTGTTTCCTTATGAAATAGGCTGTCCCTGTTGTAGATCCAGCTATCTCTTGTTTAAGTCCTGTTATCACAGATCACAAGAACAAAAAGTTAGAAGCCATCTTTAGGGCCTTTTTTGTTTGCTTGTAAACCTGCTATTGCCACCATGGCAGTGTGTCAGATGTTATCTATATAGTCAAAGACTTTGGCTAGGGCCCCTGGGTCCATCTTGATGTTCTCAAACGCCTAAAGCTCTTTCCTGAAGCCTTGCAACACTTCGATGATGGCTTGGCAGATACCCTCAGACCAATGTCCAGGATGGGTTCCCTGTCTGTCTGTGTGAAATGGATTCTCTAGCTCAAATGCTGTTCTGTGGAGCTCCCTTTGCAAAAAGTGACTTGAACGCATGCCCCTTCTGGGGAACACCTGTTCTGAGAATCCTTGGATACTTGTATCAAGGAAGTGACAGGAGGCAAGAGAGCTTTCTTACCACAGAAGATGTCCTAGCCTCTGGCTGCTAAATCCTCTACTGATGTCATGCAGCTCAAAGAGAACTGAACCTGATCCTGACTTGGACGGAACTTCATATCCCAGCCCTGTCCACCGTGCACATCCCAGGTATGGAAAATTTGCAGATAGACTTCCTCAGTCGTCAATATCTGATCCCGAAGAATGGACCCTTTCCCAGGGGGTGTTTTGGATCCTTTGTCTTAAATGACGGACACCGGATGTGGACCTCCTGACATCCAAGCCCAAAAACAAGCTGAACAGATTTGTCGCCAGGACCAGGGATCCCTGAGCCTTTGCCATGAAGGCTTTGGTGACTCCATGGGATGATTATTATTATTATACAGGATTTATATAGCGCCAACAGTTTGCGCATTGCTTTAGATCAGTGCTCCCCAACCTTTTTATCGCCGTTATTACAGAGATACATCACTTATAGGTTCCTAAACGAGACACCTAATTAATAAAAAAAACTACTATTCGCCCCCTTACAACCCCCCCCCCGCCGGCGCTCGGACTTACCCAGCCAGGGAGGTTTGATGTGTGCACTGCAGGGGGGGGGGCGGGACATGTGACACACACACGCCTCCTGTGACTCACCTCCCCTCCCGCCTCTTGTTACTATGGACGCGGCCGGGAGGGGAGGGGAGTCACAGGACCCGCCCCCTCACTGTGCCCGTCGGCAGTGCGGGGCCCCGGTGTTCGAACACCGGGACACTACACTGCCCCATATTGCTGGACCGGACCGCACTGAGACTGCGGCCCGGTACCATTTGATCCGCGGACCGGTACCGGGGGTTGGGGACCACTGCTTTAGATTATAAGGAAGACATTACAATATAATTCAAGACAGGATGGTTTGTATTGTAACTGTACTGTCTTTCTTATATTGTAAAGCATTGTGCAAACTGTTGGCGCTATATAAATCCTGTATAATAATAATCACATGGAGTCACCAAAGCCTCCACAGCAAAGGGATCAGTTCAACCTGATCTAACCCTTGCCTCCTCTGAAGCTCTTGGCTTGTCCCCTTCTCAGGATCAAGACAGAGGGCATTCTAGTGATCCTCATTGCTCTCAACTGGCCCAGGAGACCATGGTTTGAGGACGTAGTCAAACTCCTGTCGACTTTCCTCAGACTTCAGGAAAATCCAAGCCTACTGTTATAAGGACCAGTTTTACACCCTGTTTCGTGGTCACTGTGCCAAGGACAAAGGCCTTTTTTAAGCTGTTATTGCTATGCTTCTGAAATCTAGGAAGTCGACCTCCCACATGTTCTACCATCGCACCTGGAAGGCTTTTTTCACTTGGTGCCAAGCGAGGAATTTTCATCCCAGGAAGTACTCCATGGGACACATCCTATATTTCCTCCAGTCTGGCCTGCAAATGAAAACCATTTAGCCTTAAGCACTATCAGGGGCCAAATTTCTATAGATTGCTTGCCTCTCACTTTCAAGTGAAGGCCCTTGTGCAGGAGGTTGCTCACGTTGTCCCCCCTGTATGCACTCCTGTGATTCTGTGGGAGCTCAACTTAGTTCTGTTGGTGCTGCAGAATCCACCCTTTGAACCGCTTAGAGATGTTTCTCTGATCATACTCACTCGCAAGGTTGCCTTCCTTATAGCCATCACTTCTCTCAAGCGTGTTATCGAGTTGGCAGCCTTGAGTTGTAAAGATCCTTTATTGGTTATCCACAAGTATAAGGTAGTACTGAGACCTAAGGCCTCCTTTATTCCTAAGGTGGTCTATGCCTTTCACCTTAACCAGGGCTTTTTGTTACCATTCTTATGTAATGCTCCAGGGTCTGCGATAGCGAAAAGGATCACAGCTGCGGACTCAACTTTTAAACTAGGGCTGGGTATGGCAATCAGGCTTGAACCCCAGGCGTCTCTCTCAATCTCAAAGGAGAGTGAGGGGTTCTCGCATCATCTGCCACAAACTTAAGAGTAAGGTATGGACCATACAGGGGTTATTTAGCTCATAACCCAATTAGGTCAGCAACATAAAGCGGGTGCAATGAATCAGTTTCCATTAGAAGAAAGGATGAACAGACACTGGTGAGAGTAGGAGTATACAATATAGCCAGTATAAGCGACCCTAGTATAATGGCTCCCTGTTCCAAAAGGGGTTGAGTGAGATTAAAGTTCAGTATCACAGTCCAGACTCCTTATGACCTAAGATACTTGCGGTTTCCTGTGGACAGGACAGAGGCAGAGGAACGTCCAGAGCAGAGAGGGGTCCGTGAATCTCCTGGTGTGGGTACTGGCTTGTGGAGGGCATCAAGCTCAATAGTGGAACGCTTCCATAGCGTTCACAGGACTTTTAAATAGTGCGCGAACCCGGAAGTGACGACCCGGCCGTGACGTCACCTCCGCGTTCCACGGTGGATCGCAGGGAAGTTCCCCCTCTGATAGGGAAATGGTCTGCGTGACACAGCCGCTGCGTTCCACGCTGGAGCGCAGATAGCTCGCGGCCGGCAAGTATATTACAGGACCCCCCCCTGCAAGGGAACACCCCCGGGGGTTCCTCGAGGGCCCTGGCTTTCGAGGGTAACGAGAATGGAATTCCCGGGTCAAGAGAGGAGCATGCACCTCTCGGGAGTTTTCCCAGGAATCTTCCTGAGAAGTGTAGCCCTTCCATCTGATGAGGTACTGTAAGGTTCTCCCACGTCTCCTGGAGTTCAGTATTTGTTCCACTTCGTATTCGGTTTCACCCAGGATGTCCACGGGAGGAGCCAGCGTGGGAGTCCTATGTGGAAAGGGATCGGGTACGTACGGCTTGATCAACGAGACATGAAATGAGGGGTGAATGAGCAGTCCCGGGGGGAGCGTCAGTCTCACGGCATTGGTGTTGATCACCTTCTCGATGACGTAGGGACCAATGAACTGTCTCCCCAATTTCTTCGACGGAAGCTTCATCCGCAGATTCCTCGTGGAAAGCCATACCTTGTCGCCGACTCGGTAAACCGGAGGGGCCCTTCTTTTTAGGTCATAGTACCGCTTCTGTCGGTCCTGCGCGAGCCGAAGGTTCTTTTCGAGGAGCTCTCGGTTCTCCGTTAATCTTGACAAGTAGTCGACAGCCGAGGGCACATTGGAAGGGAGTACAGTGGTTGGCAGCTGGGTAGGATGATAGCCGTAGTTCGCAAAGAAAGGAGACTGATGGGTAGAGGAACTGCGGGAGTTATTGAAGGCAAATTCTGCGAGTGGGAGCAGGTCGTACCAATCATCCTGGAGGTATGTGGTGTAACACCTAAGATACTGCTCTAGGCACTGGTTTGCCCTCTCTGTCTGACCATTCGTTTGTGGATGGTAAGCCGTAGAATACCGATGATCAATGTGCAGTGATGAGCAAAGTCCTCTCCAGAATCGGGAGACAAACTGTGTGCCTCGGTCCGATATAACGTGAGTCGTCAGGCCGTGCAATTTGACGACATGTGCGCTCCGTGACGTCACCTCCGCTTTCCACGGTGGATCGCAGGGAAGTTCCCCCTCTGATAGGGAAATGGTCTGCGTGACACAGCCGCTGCGTTCCACGCTGGAGCGCAGATAGCTCGCGGCCGGCAAGTATATTACATCTTATGTTCTGTGCCAAAGCTTACTAACAAATTTTCTCTCTACTGTTTGGACATGGTTCGAGCTGTTCAGGTGTTCCTCTGTTACAGCTTCTATCCACAAGTCTGACTCCCTCTACATTATTCCTGGGGGGTCCCTACAGGTGAAACTCGAATAATTAGAATATCGTGCAAAGTTCATTTATTTCACTAATGCAACTTAAAAGGTGAAACTAATATATGAGAGAGACTCATTACATGCAAAGCAAGATAATTCAAGCCGTGATTTGTCATAATTGTGATGATTATGGCTTACAGCTCATGAAAACCC